GTTCTTTCTTTCTTTCTTTTTAAAAAACTTTTTATTTTTATTTATTTATTTTTTTGAGATGGAGTTTTACTCTTGTGGCCCAGGCTGGAGTGCTGGAGTGCAATGGCACGATCTTGGCTCACTGCAACCTCCTTCTCCTAGGTTCAAGTGATTCTCTGGCCTCAGCCTCCAGAGTAGCTGGGATTACAGGTACCCAGCACCATACCTGGCTAACTTTTTTTGTATTTTTAGTAGAGATGGGGTTTCACCATGTTGGCTAGGCTGGTCTCAAACTCCTGACCTCAGATGACTCGGTCTCCCAAAGTGCTGGGATTACAGGTGTGAGCCACTGCACCCAGCCTACAGTGTTATTTCTAACAATAAAAAGCTAAAAACTTAAATGTCCAAAAACAGAGAAATGATGAAACACATTTTGATATAAAGAGAACACCATGCAGCATTAATGATCACATACATGAGAATTATTATTAACTTACGTGGAAAAGGCTTACAATATATTAAGTGGAAAAAGTGCAGTAAGAAACCAATTATAAGAATGGGCACAGGCCACTCTGGGAGGCCAAGGCAGGAGGATCACTTCAGGCCAAGAGGTTAGAGACCAGCCTGGGCAACACAGGGAGACGTCATCTCTATTCTTTAAAATAATGCTTTAAAAAGGCACAAGTGACTACATGCATGTGTATATGCATGTATGTGTTTGCAAAGAAAAAAGTCTAGAAGGCAACAAGCCCAAAATAATCATGTGTGTTATATTCTGGTAGTAAGACTACGGGCCTAAAATTTCTTCTTTGCAGCCTTCTAAATGTTTCAGATTTATCTCTAGTAAACCTGTATTTCTTGTATAAGAAAATGTCATTAAAATTAATGTGAAGAAGTTTAAGTTATTACTTACTTTAATAGCAATGTTAATAGAAACTTCCTGAATATTAGCAAGTGGTGGGTAAAGTCTCCCTTGGGCTAGCTCTTCATCTGTCAATTGGCTTGTCAGTGCCTGAAGAGAAAAACAGCATTTTGCTCTTTGTTTAAATAACAGAATAAGGACCCAGGAAAATGGAAAAAGCATTGGGGAAACAGAGAGTAATACAGGTAATATAATTCCCGTTATTTCTTGAAGGAATACACTTAAACCACTGCAGAAATTAAAACTGTTATCATTAAACAATAAATAACCAGATTTAAAGACTTATTGATTATATTCTACTTTATATTATACATGTAGAGCGTGGCTTAATTGCAGTGGCTACTTTGAAAACAGACATTAATTGTATTAATGCGAGTTCTTCAGAAATACTTCAAAGTCTGGAGCTCCCATAGGCCAGCACTCCAAATAATACCAGTACTTGTCCATTAAAAGCATGCAATGAGTTATCTATGCTGTCAAAATATATCCAGATATATATAAAGCAAGTATAGTCTAAATGTTCTTAAAATGAGAGGATTCAG